TCTATGTCTGGTTTTGCTCATCTTTTACTTCTTTGGGGCATCTACCTGGCAGAGGGGTTGCTGCCTGGCCTCCCGGTTCTAATCCCGGTTCTTTGAGGTGGCACCCTGCTGCCTTCCACAGCGGATGTACAATCCAGGGGGTTTTCATGGGCTGGTTCTCAGAAGTTGATCTCTCAGCTTATTCATTCATTCATTCATTCATTTTCCTAGTCTGCCCTAGTCTGGAAGCTCTCTAAAGCCTGTCCACCACGGAGGGCCCTGCTGGTACTGGCTTGTAGCTCCAAGTCCCCACAGCAGGACACACTGGAAGACGGCTGGTGATGTTGGAGGGCCCTCAGCTGCTGGTCTCCTTCACTGAGCCAATCACACGGCACAGCCCGGTACCCAGTGAGGGGCTGGCCTACGGATTATGGACACAAACACCTTGTCCCGATTTCAAGGGAAGTCACCATCAGTGGCCATAGGCTTTGTGCTCCTCCTCATCCTACAGATTTGGGGACCACAAGAAATTTCCCAAGAGCTTAGGTGTCCTTTCAGTGAGGAGACATCAGGGTCCAGCATTTCTGCCCCATTTGTCTTCTTGGCTCTGGCTTAAAGTGTCTACTTCCTTGTGTTACAGCACCAGGTGTGCTCCTGTTAGGTAGCTAGAGTAGGGACCAGGTGTGCCTACTGAACATGCTTCAAATTCAGGTTTGGGAAGGGGTGGTATACCTAGGTAGGCGGTACACCTGGGTGGACCCCAATCTAGTCCAGGTGGGCTTAATTCAGCCAATGGGGTCAACCAGTATCGTTGACCACACCTCCCAGCGGAAGGCCCCAAAAGGCTGGAACTTCAAGACCACCGCCCTCTTTTCCAGCTGCCCCTCTGTGGTCCCACACAGCTGGGCTGTGGTCTCTCTCTGGCCCCAGGGGCACCACGCGTGGGTGTGCAGTGCCCCGAGGGTGCCCGTGTTCTTACCTGTAAAACCTGAAACAAACTGTCCTTTATAAGACTCACTTGGATCGCAAACCAGGCTTCCATGTGAATTATTTCTTGTGCGAGGCCAAGGACCGAGGTATTTCCTACCCGAGGAATCTAACAGTCCCAGGGGACGTGGTCATTTCTCTCCCCCTGCCTTGGTGTCCTGACCGCAGGGCCACGAAGGGGGAATGGCAACGAAGAGAAGGAACTCCAGAAAGCCATTTTTAGTGGGTTGTATATATTTAATGCTACATTATTGGCGTGGCAGGGAACAGGGTCAAGACTCCACCTCCATGATCGCGCGGGAAGACAGCTAGGAGAACGCTGTACACCTTGAGGGGGCACAGGGGAGAGGCCGGCCGGCAGGCTCAGGCTCAGGCTCAGGCCACGGGGGCCAGGCCCACCTGGTTGTTGGCCCTGTCGAAGACGGTGAAGTACTGGCGGATGAAGACGTCGCCCAGGATCCAGAGCTCTCCGGAGGCCGTGGGGATGTTCATGCCCTGGAAGCCGCTGACGCAGCCCTGCTGGTTCTGGGGAAGAAGAAGGGTGAAACTGGAGATGGGACCCAGACCCTACAGCCACAGGCCCTCGCTAGGGCAGCAAAGCCAGAGCAAGCCACGGTCCATCTGGCCGCGAGGCACGTGCCAGAAGGCGCTTCCGGGCCCTGCGTCAGGGGACTTTGCTGTTCTTGGCTTGGGCTCTGTCTGTGCGAGCCCTGCACAGCGCGGTGGGTTCCCAGGGAGGACTGGATGCTGTCTGGTGCGTCTGGCAGACGGACAAGCCCTGACGTCAGCGTCAGAGCTGAGGGGCTTAGGGAAAGCTCAGCTGCTCTGGGAGGAGTCCTGAACACCCTAGTCAACAGCCTCTTCTCATTAGACGGATCCCAGCCAGTGACAGGGCAGACCAGCTGCCACCTGGTGGATCCACTGGGACAGAAGCTAGGCCACAGGTTAGGATCACCTGGTCGCCTTTGAAAGCCCCTCCTTCCTCTTGATTTTACTTGAGCCTTAACCTCTGTGAATGGAACCTGAGTATTGGGCGGAGAAGATGGGGATCAGGGCTTCTCATTGAAGAGTACCATGGGCCCACTGGGCAAGACTAGGCTTCCACTGGGCATTGGAAGTAGGCAGGAGAGCGCCCGATCTGATCCTGCCACACCGAGGCAAAACACTAAGGGGGTGCAACAGAATAGCAAGTGAACCAAGCAGCGAGGTCCCCAGGGAATGCTGAAGGCGGACTTTGGGGCCAGGGCTTGGTGCCCCAACAGACTGGACTGGAAAACACTCCTAAAGGCCAAC